GCCACACAAAAAGCACAATGACAGCTGGAAGGCTGTCAGCTGCATGTGCGAAGGACACGCAGCCGGTCACCTAAATGATTCCTTTTAGCAAAGGTATAAAAGGTACCACACTGTATGAAACAGCACCAAGTTGAAATTTTAGTGTTGGACCACAGACTTCAATTCAGGTAGGTAGGGGGGAGGGAACGGGGCTTCTGAGGGGGCGTGGCGCACTATCGAAGAGATAGAAGGTATTGGGTCTACAGAGTCCTCCGTCGATATGCATTTCCTACTGTAAGCCACCCCCCTTAGTGAACACCTGCATTTATTCTCCACTAAGCTGAACAGAAAGAGCTACACAAGGGAGACGATGCTGAGGAAGGCCTGAGAGGGGGAGCCCGGGGGGGGCCCAAGACGGCATCACACCCGCTTCCGAGACATTTCGACATCCTGGCACTCGACAGCGGACAGGGCGATCAGCATCTGGGCGGCGTAGTAGGTAGCCATGATGATGGCACGCGAGTGTGGGACGGGAAAGCAGAACTTGTTGACGGCGATGGTCAGGTCGGACACCATGAAGAGCACAGCCCCCAAGCAGGCCGACAGCTTCGTCCAGGTCCACAGGTCATTGGCCAGCTGCACCCCGGCGATGGCCCGCCAGCCCATAAACCCGATCAGGGCGATGTAGACGGCCACCAGGTAGGTGAAAGGGCCTGACAGATAGGGGTAGAGCAGGGTATAGCTAAGACCAGAGGCGGCGGCGATGACCAAACCCGCCGGCAAGTTGATCGGCTTCATCCCAAAGGCAGAGGAATACAGGATGTGGGTGATGGCAAACATGAGCAGCCCTGGAATCAAAAGGACACGATAAGGGTCAGCACAAACGGAGAAGATCATCCATGAGAAGAAATCCAAAGACAAACACTAAGCTTGACAGGTCACCATGATTACATGAAGAACAAAGGTAGGCATTTACAATTTACCTTGCAATATGAAAGGGATGCATTCAGCATTAGATAAACATCTGGTAACACTTTCTCTGAATGCCGTGTCTATAAGAATCTACTCACACACTCGTAACACATAATACTGTATTCATAAAGCACAATAAAATTGCCTATAAATATTCATAAAAGGGCATAACATATTATAGCTATCTCTATTATGTTTTATGAATGCTTTATGAAGCTCTCATCTATGATGCACTATAGATACACTATATGGACAAAAGTACTAGGACACCTGGCTATTTAACCTACAGGAACTTTTATGACACCCCATTCTAAATCTACAGGCATCAATATGGAGCTGGTCCCCCCTTTGCAGCTATAACAGCTGCCACTCTTCTGGGAAGGCTTTCCACAAGATTCTGGAGTACGTCTGTGGGAATTTTTGCTCATTCGTCCAGAAGAGCATTTGTGAGGTCAGACACTGATGTTGGATGTGAAGGCCTGGCTCACAGTTTCAGTTCTAATTCATCCCAAAGGTGTTTGATGGGGTTAAGGTCAGCAGGCCAGTCAAGTTCTTCCACACCAAACTCACCCAACCATGTCTTTATGGACCTTGCTTTGTGCACTGGGGCACCGTCATGCTGGAACAGAAAAGGGCCTTCCCCAAACTGTTACCATAAAGTTGGAAGCATAAAATTGTCAAAAATGTCTTGGTAATCTGAAGCATTAATAGTTCCCTTCACTGGAACTAAGGGCCCTAGCCCAGCCCCTGAGAAACAACCCCATACCATTATCCCTGTTCCACCACACTTTACAGTTGGCACAGTGCAGTCAGACAGGTAACGTTCTCCTGGCATCTACCAAACCCTGACTCATCCGTCAGGGTGTCAGTCAGACAAGTGTGATTCATCACTCTACAGAACACGTTTCCGCTGCTCCAGAGTCCATTGGCACTGCACTTAGTGATGTGAGGCTTGCATGCAGCTGCTCGGCCATGGAAGCCCATTCCATGAAGCTCCCGGTGCTCTCTTAATTGTGCTGAGGTTAATGCCAGAGGGAGTTCGGAACTGTGCAGTTATTGAGTCAACAGAGTCTGGTGACCACGTACAGTTCACTGGGGAATATCCAGCAGGGAAGAAATTTCATGAACTGACTTACTGCAAAGGTAGTACAGCACCACATTTGAATTCACTGGGATCTTCAGAATGACCCATTCTTTCACAAATGTTTGTAAACCTGACAGCATGGCAAGGTGCTTGATTTTATACACCCATGGCAATGAGTCCCAATACTTTTCTCCATATAGTGTGTGTGTGTGTGTGTGTATTCTGTAATATAGATGAGGACTTGATTGGAGTTTATGAAGTATTATAATCAACAACAAGTTAAATACAGAAATGGGATAATTTCACCATGACTGAAGTAACCCTGCTCCTGCCAGATGAGGAAGGCATCTCCCAGGGAGGAGAATATGAGGCCGGCCAGGATCTTTCGGGCACTGGAGTGGGCACCCAAAAAACCGATGCCATGGGCAAGGAGGAAGACCCAGAGGCAGAAGATGGGCAGACACTTGATGAGCGCGCTGAACCAGGAGGGGCTGGAGGTAGGTAGCCAGAGCACAAAGTACACACAGGTCGCCTTGAAGAAGGGAACTAGCTTGGGTCCTTCGCTCTTCACCTGAAATGAGAAGATGGTGAGGTATTTTAAGCCTGTGGCCCAGCCCTCTTCAACTCCTTTTAGCCCTCTGGTTCTAAGTATCAGATTAATTACACTTAATTATCCAAAATTACGACAGGGAGCTGGAAGGGAGCAAAAATGTGGACCGTCTGGCAGGGAGCTGGAAGGGAGCAAAAATGTGGACCGTCTAGCAGGGAGCTGGGAGGGAGCAAAAAAACGTGGGGTCCCTGAGGACCGGGTTGAGAAACACTGGTTTATGACACTTGAGAACACAAGACTGCCACATTTACCACACACTTCCCAGAACTTCATTACATACAAGCATAAACAAAAAAAATACATAATTCATCATTCACTTAAAATGCTTTGCAGCTGGGATGTTTAAAATTCTTGATACCTCACTATGGTACCAAGGGAAGACACTGTATCTTACACCAAGTACTGGAATGTTTCTCCAGTTTCAACAGTGTTAAAATAATTGAATTCATTTACAAATTAGTTAATGAATTTGCTTACGAAGAGAACACTCATTTCAAAGAGAAGGCTGCATTAATTTCAGAAGTCAACGATGCTGTCAGGAAAAAAGGATGTTAGAATGGGAAGTGAAACCAGTCAGTCCCCCAGCAATATGCATACAGGAAATGAGATGTATGACTGGTTGAATCTGACATTCAATAGTTTGAAAACATGTGCAAACCCAACCAAGCTCAGTAAATTTGTAAGAGGAGCGTACAGGTTAAAACTGAGAACTCACCCAAGGAGGTTAACAAAAAGAGACACAGCGATTTTTTCCCCACATTCCCAGCAGGCCTCAACCCTGTCCAAACATCTTCTACGAAGCATCTCACCAGATCGTCACTGGTGCCCCTGGTGATCCTTCAGGCAAACGGAATTCTTTCACAAGCCACGTTATGTCTTTCTTTAAAGAATCATATCCTCTGAGCCGGCAGAGCTGGTTTGGCAAAGAGAGCAAACAGCAAGTAGAACAGTGATCTGGGAAGGCTATTCAATCTCAATGGCTCCATCACTACTAAAGTAAAACAGTCATGGCAGAAAACCATACATCAGTTGATGCAACCAAAACAGTCAATTTTAATTTAATTTAACTTATGGATCTCCAGAACAAAGGAAATGTATTTTAATTTCTGTAGGAAATCTCTAGGATAACCCTGTTTTGGCTTTGATGGAAGCCCAGTTACTAGGTTCTAAATTATTTCTATAGGAAGGTCACGTGTCCCTGAAAACCATGCTGTGAAACCCATTCTTAGTTGACTAACATTAGACAGCATACAAAGACTATTGCAAGGATATCCTGCAGGAAACTAAGGGAATAAAACACAAAGACTTGCTTTTGAAAACTTGTCTCTATTGCGGCATTCACATACCAGTTAGAAAGGTGAATATATACAGATTAAATCTCATTGATCATTGAAGCTGTCCACTGTAAATGTTCATTGTTGTCTCAGTTGCCTTTAATGTCTTCTGTAAGCTCAGAAAAGCAAAACAAAGAGGCATGACAAGGATAGCCATGTGGGAACAGAACGATGAAGTTCACTTGGTTTATTTGCGGGCCAGCAGAGAACTTAAGGAAACAGAAGTGAGTATTAAGTGAGGTTCTTCTGCAGAATTGCTGTGCTGCAGTTGAAGGATTTTAATTTCTGTGCATGACCTGGCTTGTGAACGGAAAGCTCGACATTATAATTCACATTTCTCCTAACGTGTTGCTGGTGGAAAGCGAGGACACCACGGCTTTCTCAACACGATCAAAGAGGCCACATTAGATCTCCATGGCAAATGTGCATCCTTCTAGACTGCAAAACATCTCACCTTAGGCCAACGTATACAGAAAGCGCAAAGCCATGACCACTGTCAGAATGTCAGAACATTTAATAAGGCTTTCTATGAATGCCCTGATAATAAACATTTATGAACACATTCGTTACACAGTATAATTCATAAATATTTATAAAAAGGCATAACACAGTATAGCCATGTTTATTAAGCATTATGAATACTTTATGAAGCTCTCATCTATAATGCACTATGGATACCTTACATACATTATGCTGTACAAAGCATGCTTAAATCCTTAAGACTTATACTGATCATTAAAATGCATTGTGAAGGTATCTATAGTGCAATAGATAGACAGATAGATAGATAGATAGATAGATAGATATTTTATTAATCTAAATAGATAGATACTTCATTAATCCCAAATTTTTAAGGAATGCTGTATTAATTATAAAGCATTATTAAAGTATCTATAAAGTTTAATGCATAATAGATGGCAGTTTCAAGTAAAGTGTTACTGAAAATATTTTAATTGTTTTTGTGCTTCTGCAATACTGTCATTGTAAAGTTCCAGAGCCAACCTGAATATTTTATATACACACGCGATGTGTACAAACAGGGTCTGTGGCCATATGCTTTCATTCAGTTTGTTCTATTCTATTGTTTCAGTATTTATTGTTTCCACACAAATATCTCTGCAGCTCAGACTGTGTGCGACCTCCAGATAAATCATTTGTGGTGCTAACACACATGCGTCCTATAAGAAGTGCAGATCTTTCAGCATGATTTAACAGAGATGATGCCCAGTGCCGACCATAAAGTCTTTATGCCCCCTTTTTCCACGCCGCAGCTCAGTCAGATGACGTAAACCACGTTCATCTCACAGGGCAACAAATGTACAATTCCAAGCGCTAGCGAAATGGATAAACTGCTTCAAGTGCCATGTAAATGCGACCTATAAAAGTGCTTCACGCCGCGCTAAAAGGCGCTACGTGTTTTGCCGCGAGCACAAAGGTCTGGCTGAAAAGGCATCCCCTGTACTTTCAGGTAAGATCATGTCACACCACTAAGCATCCCCTGCTTAGGACAGGAAGCATGACCCAGTTGAAAGACGAAACCACAACACTGTGGAACACCGTATCCTTCAACACCTGCTTGCCTCCTGGGTAGATCCTTTGGTGGAACAGATGCCGCCATTTCATGGAACACAACACACAGGGTTACAAAACATTTCCACATCATTTTCGATGGGAAAGTAGTATACAAAAGAAATATACAATTGTTTACAGAAACGTTTTCACATACTGGACCCTGTGACAATGGGTCTTCAGGGAATCTTCAAAGTTCCTTTAACAGGTTTTGGAAGAAATTTATCCCCCCCCCCCCCCCCCATGAGGTGCTGCGGAAACACATCCGGCCAACAGGCCGAAGAGGGACAACAGTGGAAGCATGCTGATTGGAGTACTAACCTGATGCCAGAGGCAGGGAGAGGGGACTTAGACTGCAAGCCTAAAGAGTCTTCATTGATCCCCAACAATGAAGTCTAATAGTAATGGACTCACACATGTGTCTACAGGGCCTTAGTAAGATTCCAGTTTATCATCTGAGTACCTCCATGACTCCCTCATTAAACTTTTAACATTACTGTTATCTTATAATTAATTCTATTATCAAAATATTTAGAGGGTTATTATATAAATGATACAGGTAAAATGGTGACCATTTGAAGGACCATTTAAAAGTCTGTATACATCCCTGTTACTTTCCTACATTTGTCAAAAAACTATCTACATACAGAATATTGAAATACACAGCGACAGCTAGTCTGATATTGTTTTCTCATGTTGCATGTCAGCAGGTGGTCCGGAGGCCCTACCAAAGTGCCAAGCTTCTGAAGAAGGGCTGTAATAATTGTGACTGAGAGGTTTTATCTCCTTCACAAAACCAGGGTACCAAGCTTCTCAAAATTCACAAAGGAACCCGTCTACACTGAGCCAGAGTAAATACAGATTTGTAAACTCCCCAAAACAAGAGCCTTAATAGCCATGCAAGGTACTCTGACAGAAAAAGGGGGCCTACCCTAGGATATGTCTCAGGGGGGTGACCAAGCCATCCAACAGATATGTAGATTAGCTCAGGGAAATGAACTGTGTTACATTCACTGTCACAGAATCGAACGAGCAGGTGTGAAAAGTAGCCCATTCACACAGCTCCAGGTAGCAACCAATGGTGTAAAATCCCCATCACTACACATGCATCGACCTGGCTATTCTGAGGTTTAATGATTTAACCACCACACAAACTTGATACCCCTCATTTCTAATTTTGCCCATATGTGTGAGATGAGCAGTCGGTTTACGTTTCCCGTTTCGCTTTAACTGGACAACGCTGGTTTCTTGTTTTCGGCAAAGGCTGGCAGCGGAGGGAAATGCTACCAAGGACGATCTTTGACCATGGCAAGAGCAAACTGAGAGAACAGCCATGCTGCTGTATGAGAACGGCCTGTCCTGCTTCAGGAGTGGCACTGCCCAGCTAGCAGGACATTGGTACTTAAAAAAGTACAAACTTGTAGGGGTGTCATCTTTATATGTTTTTCTCTCTGCTGAATTCTTATTCAAAAATCTATTTTTCTAGTATTAAAGAATCATACAATTTTACTTAATTTTAATAGCCCTTGGTTCAATGCCAGTTTAATTATGCTGCACAATTGCAGAATATTTATCACAGTGATAATAATTTAATGTGGTTATGTGTTAAGTCATATTTTAATTTTTAATGGGTTTCCATACAGTTGATTAGGTATCTCGTTTGGCTTAGAAATAAAAGCTTAACTGTTACCAGTACCAATATAGGAGCTGGTTTGTAATGCACACCAAATGGTATCAGCTAGAATTTCCACTAGGGGAAGCATGCTAAAGTCACTCAGTTTAGCGACTGCATCACGACCGTCCTTTTCCTCGCAATACTGCAATCAGGAATGAGGGAAGTAGATATAGAATATGCGGCTTCAGATCAGCCATTGTCGTCTTATCATTGACGTTATGATTATTCTCATGACAATAATAAAAAAAGAATTCCATCTGCAGAACGACAGTGTCTTATTCGAGATTTTTTCTAACAGGTCTACATAGAAACTGTACAAAAAACTGGAACTGATAATAGTCATGGGAAGGGGAAGAAAACTGTAGCAAATGCAGAGACGGGCTCAGAGAGCCAATGTAATGAGCATCATCTTATGCATTACCGCAGGCTGCTAACGAGCGCATGCGTTGCTTGGACGCTACAGGAAAAAGACAGAATAGTCGTCACATGATTTTGAAACGGGTTGTTGAGGAAAAGAGAAACAAAGGGAAATTCATAAAAACGAAACGGTAATTGCTAGACGTTGTTGTCAAATGATTCCTATATTAGAAAACTGGATTACAAATCGTGCTAGAAAAACGACAGATTTAACCGTGAACCCTGGTCGCCGTTTTGAGTTTTTAAAAACAGGACAAGAGTTTTTTTTTTTTTTCAAGGAGATACTTTCCACTTATGCACTCTAACCGGACAACGGTCCGGGAATAAGCGTGGGTTTCGGAACACACTAGCAAAATGCAGGACATGCAAGTTTTAATAACGCGCACATCAACAAGCTCGAAGCTCAGTTAGACGTCTGTGTTTTTATCTATGGAAAAGCAATATGTGTAATTGTTCCCATGCAAAATACTGCATTCCTATGGTGAATAAGAGGTGAATAAATTCACGTGATGGTATTTTTGTGATTATTACTAATCGACTCTAACCGGCTTCATTGTGTCGCAACATAAACACGGACATGCTTTTATTGATCACGTGCTTATAATGTTTTTCAAAGAGAAGAGCTATAGCACAACACATGCAAATGCAAGTGTATTTAAAAACGTACATCGGTGGTATATTTTACCATGTTGAAGCATAAACCATTTAAACGTTTAAATAAGTCGCTTAAATTATCCGGATTCAAAAATCTGCCTCATATTTTCATATTCTTTTTATCCTTTTAAAGAAATGATGTCCCTCTGTCTACTTGATGTCATCTGTTTATTAATCCCATTGATGTAAAACATTCGACTGATGTACTGTGGAGTTTAGATATAAAATTATAGAAATGTGAGAAATGCAGAGTAAAATTTTAACAATACATCGGTTCAGTAAGCCACCATTGCATTTATTCAACGGATCCACGAAAGATTGGAAATACTTACCACTGTGACAGGAGAAACCATTTCTGGTTCGATGCCACCGTGATAAAATTATAATCAAAATATACGACAGCGACGTTTCCGCTTTGATTCCGCTAGAAATAATGCAGGAGCTTTCTTGTATAAGCGATTGTTGTTGTCTTTTTTTTTGGATTGGGCTGACATCAAGGGGCGGGAACAACTTTGTTATAATCGTGGGAGGAGATAAATCGGTGAATTCATAGGTTGTTGCTATGATCGACGCGGCTAGTACCCTAAATGGGGAGGAGTTTAGACAACGTGACGCCTATATAGAGGAGGGTAATACACCAGTGTTTACAAATGAAATCTAATCGTTTAGTATACAGCGCTTTGCCTTCGAGAAAGACATCCAAGAAAATCATTCAAGTAAACGATATTATTCCACAAAAGACAAATGACTGAAATTTGTTTTATGGCACAGGCATAAATTGAAAATACGCGCGAATATAATCTTAACATCAACTTGACAGCCTTAACACTGAAATTTTGCGTATATTACACATAGTCTACAGAGGAAGGCCTACATACAAAATAGCATAAATTCTTAACTTTACTTCGTCCGTTATATTGCCTTTCCAATCCCTATTCCATTAATGAATTAAAATGAATAATCTAGCACATCTCCGGTCAGACCGCTGTCCCACGACTCGGACGAGCCGTGTAGATAGAGCACAGTATTTTTACTCCCTCCTCCCCTCCAGAAGACGCTACCCAGATAGCATAATGTTATTGTTTCAATGTTGAATTATAGTTAAATGTGTTGAATTATGGTCAGTGTTAAATTATCAACGTTGACTGAATTGATTTTTGGTCAGATTTTCAATATTGATAAATTGATGGTGGCAAAACCTTGATTCAATGTTGATATTAAGTGAAAGATTGAAGATCAACGTTGTTTCAACCTTTTTGTCTGATATGGAATCAATGTCATTTCAACCTATGTGTGTTATCTGGGTACAGGTTCATCAGTATTTCAAGACTGTTAAATACAGACTGATACTTCGTAGTGTAATCCTAATCACCACAGTCATTTATTAATCAGTGCCACTTTAAACCTCAGCACTTTGTATTGTGTTACTGTATATTGCATGCGTATTGTATATTATTGTCCACCATGAAGTTGTCACTATTTATTGTTCTTCACCGCACCGATATATTAATTCTGCAGGGATCGACGTACGTAAGCAAATATTTCTTTGTATTAGTGCGTATTTAAATAACAAAAAGCTTACGAATCCTTTAGCATTTTGAAATACAGGACGTAGATGTTCGTTACACCAACTGTTGAGTACTGATGACATCTCCTGGTACAAAATGTTCATGCAACCACACAAAAGACGAAACTACTTAATATTTCTCGTCTGCAAATATCCATTTCGAACAACTGTCAACGGGATTTATATTACGTGGCATTTTGGACACTGAATGAAACTGAACCGATCTGAATTAGAGGCCAGTATATACTGGTCCAGTGCCGCTCCCAATATAACTGCATTACGCACTAAATTACTGGTGAGTATTGCAGACTCATAAGTATTTACTTTTCTTAAAAAAAACATTTGAAACTACCTATTTCACTCAATTTATATTTTTATTTTAAAAAGTAGAAAGTTCAGGAGACACCCGGTAAAGATCCTCTTACGTAACACAACTCAGTCACACATGCAACACATTGTGCGAAACATCGTGCGACTCGCATGGAACGCATACATTCACAGAATGCCAGCTCATGAAATGATTCAGGGAGGAAGTGACGCAATCGGGAGGATGACGTCAGACAAACGTCCACTGGACAACGCGGCCGGGTCTTAACCAAATTGCTACTAGAAGCTAGCCGGCTATATTTGTCACATTATACGCGAAGCTGGGTTAATTATTGGTGTCGCTGAAAGCCCCTGTGCGGGTTTTATATAGGCTGTCTTTCCTGGGCCTCGTTTTCATGTCATACCTTTAATGTTTGTTTTTTTGGCTGTTTTTAATTGGCTAGGCTGGCGAGTTGAATCGCTAGATAATTAGCTGGATGGCTAGCTAAACGTTAAAGCTCGCATTGGCTGTGCGGAGCAACGATGGCGTTTTAAATACCCGATAAGCGGTTGCTTTGCAATTCCGGGGTTGGTACGGGAGGGAGGGGGGACTCTAGCTAGCAAGCTAACGAGCGAGGATCGGGAGAACACCTTTTTTCTGAGCTACTAAAATGGATTTCGAAAATATATTAACGCTTGCCTCAGAAAACCAGGGCCTCAGCGCTTTGCCGACGGTGGGTATAGATACATTTAAGTATGGATGAAGATCGGTGTTATTCTCTAGGGCACTGAATGTGTAGATACCCAGGTAGTTCACTCTGCGTAATCCATCAAGTTAAATTACCAACTTCATATTCGCTGACGCCTGTTTGATCGAGGCACTCCTCCCCTTTCGGGTTTTGTATATGGAGTATGTTGTTCATGTCGTGTATAGACTCAAAGGCTTCTATAGTTTTAAAATGCTCTTTCTGCAGTATGATTGTGAAAATCCAGTGTAGCTGCTTTAGAAGGGTGGGCGCTTTACGCCCCGCATGGACGCTTACGTCCCGCGGCTGAAAGATCCGTCCCCGGTACATTTTGCCATGTCAGTGGCATGCTTAACTCCGCTAATCAGGACCATGACAGAAGTTAGAAAGAGTCTGAAACAGTTTTCGTTCCTGTTAATAAAGCAGCGATCCTTACATGCTGTCTCGTTCCGTCGAAGCAGCTGTTAGTATCAGTCTGGGCGTTTAAGGCTCGCAGATCTTAAACGATGAATCAGGATCTTTATGAATGAATTGAAATGGAAATTACGGTAGAAAGAAAATGCCACCTTGATCTGTTTTCGTAAACTGACAACGTCTTCATCGTCTACTGGTTGCTGTTAGGCGTTTCCCAGTACAGGAGATCCGCTTGCGTATTCTGTTTTTCTGATCGGTATTAAGTGCTACTGTAACTTCTGTAAAGTTAACTGTCTCAGTTCATCGTTCAGGGTGGTAATTTTGTCTATTTAAAATTACCAAAACAGATTACATGTCGCCCGCCTCCCCTGCATAATTTATTTTTACTGTACGTATTTTCTTGTTTAATTGCAGAAGTTAATCTGTGGCAGAATAATAGTTCTAACACAAAAGTCAGTTCCTCTACTGGCTGTAATGTTTTTCAAAACGTTTGCAAAATCACAATGGCCTTTGGATTATATTCCCCTGTGTGTAAAATGAGGTTTGCAAAATAATGGTTTAACCCATGTCACCTGTTGCCTTCCCTCAGTATATATTTTTCTCCTCCCATAATGTCAAATATGCAAATGGTAAATCTTAAACCACCAAAAACTGTTTTTCTCCTCCACTTTTGCTGTCATGGCAACTGATTTTTTATTTTTTTTTTACATCACATCCAGATTTGTCCACTGTTAGTTTCCATAGAAACAATTCATTTGCTCAGAAGGGCGAATGCTGTAAATGTATTGGAAAGAAAATTGCTTAGACCGTCTCTCTGGTTTTTAGATGCCGAGTATCTTTCCGTACTTTGTCGTGTTGCGGTAACCCTGTTTGTTCTCTCTGCGTGCTGGTGCCTGGCTTCTCCACAGAAGCGTTACAGTCTGCAGGCGGGCCCTGCGAAAAAGCACCCCAAGGTTAAAGGTGTGGAATCCGCTGCAGTGCAGGCCTTCCTGAAGAAGAAAGAGATGGAGCAAAAAAAGAAAGGTACACAGAATATGCACCTCGCAAAGTCTGTCGTCCACCTTCATGTTATTACTGCTATTACTCGTGCTATGTCGTTATTAACATTGGGTTTACCAGTAACACTTTAGTAATAACTTGGTTACTACTGTAGTACAAATCATGGTTCAAATCATATAGTTGCTACAGTACTTGAGATAAAGGGTGCATTGATTCATTAGTGATGAACAAACATGAGATCAGTATGTAACTAAAACTTAGTTTGTGGGTAATTAATACACAATTACAGACACTCCTCACTTAATGACTGATTTCCGTTCCTATCACTAGGTTGTTAAGCAAATTGGTCAATAAGAGAGGAGCCACCAATTTCCAGTATATCAAGCATACTGTACTGGTAGTGGGATTGTCAAGCATCTTTAGATAGTGTTTTAATGTTACCTTCGTACCATTATAAGCATTTATAAATATACTAAAAAATCTTACAACAGTAGTACACTGTAATAAACAGAGGAAATCAACCTAATGTATATTACTGAGGTTTGCGTATTGTACAGCGTCCAATAACGATGGGCCGGAGACCTGGTTGTAGGTCTGTGCGGTCCTTAAACAGGTAAGTCAGGAGTAAGGAGTGTCTGTAATAGTATAATTCTATATCATTTGTGCCCTCTCAAGTTAAGTGTTACTGTTTTATCTGATGCTACAGTTGCATGCTTTACGAAAGCATTTCAGGTTAAACTTAAAGGTACATGATTTTATCTGCATTTTAATTAGCCCATCTTGATGTGTTTTAGAGATGCAAAGCAAGAAACAAAAAGATGAGTTGTTGGCAAAGAGGGTGGAACTTAAGTCTGACCGGAAAGCTCGGGCGATGGCGTCGCGGACCAAGGACAACTTCAGGGGCTACAATGGCATCCCTGTGGTGGACCAGCCTAAGAAGAGGCATCCGAAGGGGCATCCAGTCCAGCAGAGCAAAGAGGACTTTGTGGACGATGAGGATAACTATGAATATTCACAGACAGACTCTGAGCCTGAGCTTGAGCCTCAGCCTCAGCCTCAGCTTCGGAATGATAAATCCCTCGCTAAATCCTCCGGGAGGCCCTCTGGCCCAGGCAGGCCTGTCCCGCCGCCCATGAACTTCGAAGATCTCTTGAAACTGGCCCAAAAGAAGCAGTTTGAGCCAGTTGAGCTGAAACCAAAAAAGAAAAGCGAGGAGCGACTCCGGACGGCCGAGGAACTGAGAGAGCTGGAGCTGGAGAGGAAGGCGAAGAGGCAGGATAGAGGGCGGGAGGCCAAGCCAGAGAGAGAGCACAAACCCCAGGGTAACCCCAGTACCTCAAAGAAGTGTTTACAGGAAAAGGATGCACGGAATGGCAAGTCTCACAGGAGCTCCTCCGAGAAGCTCCCACACCGGGGTTCAGGGAAGAAGCCCACAGCAGCAGCCTCTGGTGAACGGCCGCATGGGATTGCCAAGCCGTCTCAGGGAGACAAGCATGTGTCCAGCACCTCCAGTGCCTTAAACAGTAAAATTACAGCCAAAGCTAGTTCTCAGGCCCCCAACAGACCCCAAGGCCCGCGGCCTTTTCCAGGGCAGAAGCCCGTCTCCAGCAGTGACCTTATGCAAAAGCGGGGAAACCCCCCTGTCCCACCGGGAAAGACATCTGGATCGGGGACCTGGCCGGGTGTCACCTCCAGCCCTGCGCCAACCCGAACGCCAGCCATGGGCCAGACGCGACCCGGAGCGGGTGGCTCAGTCAGACCGAGTCCAGGCAGTGAACACACCAGGTCTAGTGTTGTAAGTGGCATCAGCAAACAAGTCAGGCCCAGCCAAGGCAACTCAGGAAAGATGACGTCCGCCACATCTGCTAGGTCAGGAACGGGGGAACCAATACAGTCAGCCCGGTTCAGTGACAATGGACAAATGCGATCTGGTGCAGGCGGCCCTCCCAGGTCGGGGATTCAACCACAGGCGCGTCCCGGTGGGAGTTCCCAGGTCCGCCCTAGCAATGGTGGAATTTGCCCTCCAGCAAACGGACCTGGGCGGCCATGGAGTGGCGCAGCCGGGCCTGCAAACAACATGGGTTCCGGCCCTGGGAGGCCCAAATGTACGGTGGTAGCTGAAACTATCTCGTCTAAAAACGTAGCGCCCAGACCTGGGATGCCATCGAGACTTCCTCCAGGTCACAGACCGGTGATGAGACCTCCAGGTATGGCTTCCCCTTATTTAATAGTGAATCACCCTTTTGTTGATGCTCTTGCTTTATGATATTGGGTGAGAGGTGGTTGCCTTTTTTTCTGTACCCTCATTGCCGAGTCACCATTTAATCTCCAGACAAAACACTGTCGAGAGACAGTGAGCATTCTCTTAGATCAGTGGTTCTCAATCCTGTTCCTGGTGACCCACCTGCCAGAATGTTTTCGTTCCAACCCTACCTTAATCAGGCTCAGATGGTCCTTAATAGACTAAAGCCGGTTTCAGACCGAACGCGGCGAGCACTACGCTACGCTCCGTGCCTATATACATCGTCGCTACTGACCGTGAGCCAAAATGACAGGAGAGAGTTTTGAAAACCACGCCTACTCTTTGTGCAGAAGCCTCGCGGCGAGCACAGCGCAGGCCGCGTTCGGTCTGTAACCAGCTCTAGCCTATTAAGGACCATATAAGCCTGATTTAAGATAGGGTTGGAATGAAAACATTCTGGCAGGTGGGTCGCCAGGAACAGGTTTGAGAACCACTGTCTTAGATTGATGAGTCAGCAGTGCTGGGTTTTCCACTGAAGTTGTCGCTGGGTTTCATGCTTTGTTGAAGCTTGCATTGCTGCTTTTTATTGTACGGCTTTTTTTTTTATCTAGGTACAATGCTACCTCCAATTACATCCAGTTACAAACGAAAATATGAAGAGGAGGACTATGACCCTGAAATGGATGATTTCATTGATGATGGAGGTGTAGAACAAGACGAAATCTCCAAGCACATCAGGGAGATTTTCGGCTACGATCGGAACAAGTACGACAAGTGTTGTTTGTTTATAATACTCAATTATGTCTTTGTTACTCCTCTTGTTTCTTGTGGTGTTAGATGACATAGTGGTTTGTTTTGCATAAGGAAATACTTTGCCTTAACAGGCAAACATGCGGTTTATGTACGTCTTTTGTCAGATACCAAGAGGAGAGCGACTATGCACTGAGGTTCATGGAAAGCAGCTGGAAGGAACAGCAAAAGGAGGAAGCTAGAAGGTGAACGAAATGGGATGCGCTGCGTCTTTAAATGGGGGTGGGGTTTATTGTGGGCTTGCTGATGGTGTGGTTCTCTTAGCCTTTTGAACTCTGAGAGGCAGAAGAGCTGTTTTGGGTGCTTAGAGATACGGAGGAAAATAGTCATGAACGGGATAAGTTAGTTCTGAGAAATCACAAGGAAAAAGATGGGGTTTTTGAGGGCAGGGGATGAAAATGAAGGTCGTTATTTGCCATAGTGATCATTTATCTTTTTTTTTTTTTTTTTTAGCTTACGAATGGGCATCAAGGAGGATGAAGAGGACATTATGTTGGAGGAAGAGGAGAGAAAAAGAAAACTGGCGGCAGTGAAGGCGAAACGAAAGAAAATGTGAGGTTGTTAAAGAAGTGGAACACTGCCGATGTACCTGCTTTTGCTTCTGCTGTTGTGCTGTTTATTTCCTGAGGAAGGAGCTGGTTTGCACTATCAGAGAGACCCACTTTCAAAATAGATCTACACCCTATGAGGGAATAAAATATAATATAAGAATAAAGACCTGAGAATTGTTTTTATATCTATATAAAAAATTATGGAATTTCTGTACATTCAGTTGCTTTGCTTCTTGGAGAACAGCGTCTGTTTCCAGGTTATCCTCGTGAGCAGAATGCAAGAACCACGGCTGTTACCTATAGACTTAGTTTTATTAATGCAATTAATTTGATGAGACACATTTTGCCATTCTGTTAACATCTGTTATTTCTTGTTTATAAAAAAAAATGACCTTTCACTTTTTATTGGTGTTTCTTGCTTTGTGTACCCCCCCCCCCACACCTTCCTCTAACTGGCCAACGTACAATACAATGCATTTTTCTCATTTGTGGAGACAGTTTTGTGTGATGGGTGTTACTGACGTGAAGGCTGCACAGCACTTAAACACTTTTCTGAAAAGTTCTCACTGCAGCTTATTGCGGTGTTTTGAAATCAATAATTTTTTTGTGGTAAAATTATATTCAGTGCATTTATAGATTTTCGTGATCTGCACTAACGCAGCGAAAGGTTTTGGGATTTGTGATTCAGCTGATGATTCACTTGTTAGTTGGGACGAAGATGATCCATGCAGTTTATCAAATTACGATCCTTAAACTTTAAAAGTCGTACTTAGGCATTCTGTTGGAAAAGGCTGATACTTTTGCTGCTCTGCTCATTCAGCTATTAAGCGGTCTCTGTTTGGGTCAGATTTCATGAAAATAAATATATTTTGAGGACATTTTTGTAGTCCTCTGTCCAAGTTGCCAATGATGATGGATGAGTGAATCGCTTCTTCAAATAAGTCTAACTTGAAATACACTGCCCGTCCAAAAAAAGGTCACCATTTGAATTTATATCAGCAAATACTTAAAAACCAATGACTAGATCATTATTACAGTCCTGCAACGTTATGCAGCAATAAAGTAAAGTCAGCTGAGTACCTGAATCTACTGAATGGCCAGGTTACACCTCCATCCATCATCAATGGATTTTTTCTTCCCTGTTGGCATGGGCATATTCCAGGACAAGAATGTCAAGATTCATTGGGTTCAAATTGTCAAAGAGTGGTTCAGGGAGCATGAGGAATCATTTTCACGCATGACTTGGTCACCACGGAGTTCTGACCTTAACCTCATTGAAGGTCTCTGGGATGTGCTGAAGGAGGCTTTATGGAGTGTTTCAACTCACTTGTCAATAGAGGATCTCAGTGAGAAATGAATGCAAATCTGGATGAAAATAAAGGATGAGATGTTGCATAAGCTTGTGGAAACAATGCCATGACAAATATGCACCATAATCAAAGCTAAAGGCGGCCCAACAAAAAATTCAAATGGCAACACTATAATCAAAATGTACTTTTGGATGCATACTGGTGCTGTATGCAGGCCCACTATTGAGGACATCGTCCAATTCCATTTTTTTTCTTTGGGGGGAGTTGAAGTGACTTAATTTCTAGTAAAAATTTTTGGTTTTATATATTACTTTTCTGTTTATACATTGACAGTCTTGCTAAACAAATTTGATAACTTTTTTATTCTTAGCTATAAAATACTACATAATGTTAAATGCTGTTTTATATAATAACCTGACAGTTTGCATCCAGCTTGTAGACAGAGATGCACGTAATGAGGGCGTACGCGCTGGGTAGAAGGCAATAGCTTATTAGACGGTATGTCCTTCCAGCATGCCGTAGTCGGTCGTGCCTTCGCGGAAGTTTGCATGTGTTTGCCAAGGTATTTGTGCTGTGGGCTGAGGTCTCATCGGAATCGCAAACCGGGCTGTTTCACCCGACGTGTTTAGGAGGTTAGTTTGCAAGTTGTAGGACAGCTATGGATTTATCCTCGGAACCAATAAAGAAAGTGCTTCTTAAGGTGGGTATCTAGCTGGTTAAGGTGAAATTTAGAGGGTAAATTAACTGCTCTACTTTATCTGAACTACTTCCAGGTATTCGTGAAACCAGATTTGTCAGTATCACTCACTGTCACTAGGCAGTTCGGCTTGTTTAAGAAGCGAATGTTATAGTGACGTCATCAAAGGAATTACGGTTTCGTTGCACAATGACGAGGCGCTACATTTTTGTGTTTTTAAATTATTTATTAGTACAAGTTTCGCGATTTGGCCATTGAGGAGCTACAGAAACTCCAAAAGGTCCACAATGGGATGATGCCTAATGTCGACACGTACAGTAAGTACGGATTCCCTAATACTCTTCAGAATGCAGTACTATCCTGTAAATTATCGGTGATTTGATGCAGCAGAATACACTAATCCACCCGCTGCCACATTGCTGTAGTCTGTCGTAGACCACAGCTGTGTTTTCGGACAGTATTTTCCGAAGTTTTGTTATGGGATATTAATAGTCTTTAAGATACCCCTACACAAGCTAATTGTTGCCCCGACTTTACATCGCTCTCCGTTTCCTGTAATGTATATTCAGTGGGTATAACTGGCTTCTGCCAGTATGCATTAACATTGCCCTCTCCTGTTCAACTCCTTAAATATTATTGTGGCTTTTGGAAAACACAGCGGACAATACATCAGTCGTCAATTTAATGTATGTCTTGTATGTGCAGCTTTTACAGACAGCTCCCAAAAAGACCTTCTGAAGCTTGTTGGAAACATTCCGGTCAGATATCAAGGTGAGCTTGACTAAAACTGGTGTGAGAAATATAGGTGCCAATGTTCTTAAAATATGTTTGGTCTTTTGTACCTCCACTGGTTTCCCTCTTAATGAACATGGTTTAAAAAGTAACAGGTATTATAACCATAATACATTCACAAAGCCATTCATGTTTTAATTTGTAACATTCAATTACAATGGAAATTGCTTTAACAGCAAATAATTTGCATTCCATGGATATTGCATCATTTTACATGTTACGTTATGGTCACTGTTGTCAGAAGAAATGTTTCATTAGAAGCACAACTAGGAAACTGTTTTGTAAATGTTTAAAGCCTCCAGTTTCCTCTCACGCTGGGGCTGGGAATCAGCCCTGACCTCAAAATTTGATTTGATTTCAATTCCTGATTTGATTCAGTTTTGATTTAATTCTGCTAAAACATCTTTTTAGAGAATCAATTCACCATATACATTAATGTTAAACATCAACAATGGTCAATGTTTAAGAATGATTTTTGAAATTTAACCAATAAACAAAATATTGTAGTCTAGTTATCACATAATGTCCATCACCATCTACTAAGAATTAAACAGAAAAGGTTGTTTTTAGGTAGAAGTCGGTATAAAGTCATAGAGAAAAGGCGTAAATTAGATCTATCTCGGGATTTCAAGAGTCGATATTTAATAGACAAAACCAGCATCGTGGTTAATCATCAAATGGACATTTTCTCTAACCCTGTCTCACATAGGCCGCTCCTACAACTTGCCCATTCTCATATGGCTGCTGGACTCCTTCCCCTTTACTCCGCCCATCTGCCAACTGCGCCCCACCCCCAACATGGTGATCCGGGAGGGGAGACATGTAGACGCACGGGGAAGGATATACCTACCTGCTCTCCACAACTGGGACCATGTAAGTGCCGTCCTGTGGCTGTCCATGATTTCGGAGCAGTTTGTTTTGTGCAGTTTGTTTACCAAGGTTGTGTTTTTGCGATTGGGATGTCTTACAGCCTAAGTCCTCTGTGAACAGCCTGATTAAGGAAATGATCGCCAAATTTGAGGAAGACCCCCCTCTCGCTTCAAAGCCATCACCAAGCACCGAAGACCCAACCGAGCTCCTAGCCTTCGTGTCAAACTTGAAGATCACTGAGGGTGAGTGTCCAGCTCCCCGAATTTTGCATATTCGACAGAACTTTGAAAGAGCTCTGTCGTCTTGGTCCATTGAAGCATCGGCAGTATTGGTCTCATATCAGGAGCCTTCGTATATATTCATATGACGCTCTTACAGCTTGAATCCTTTTGGTAACGTAGAGGTAGACACTAGTCATTAGTTAGTACAGTGGTTTTGCCGTTTGTCCCTTCAGCTAGTGCCCTTAACCTTAACTTCCAGGGACCCTACTGTCTGTTATATATTGCTTTGGATGAACTGTCTACTAAGTAAGTCAATGTACATAAAATGTAATACAGTTCAAACACAATAGATGCAGGAAACGCATGGAACCAAAAACCTGCCGAATGTTTGCTAGGTAGAGCCATTTGTGGAATGTAATAATTCAAGGGGGATCTACAGAAGATGCAGCACTTCCTGGTCACCTGCTTTTGGTATTGGGTCGGACTGCAGGGCTGCTACATCCTTTATGCAGGATTTGCAGTAATTCACTGCATACCTAGTAGTGCAGTGGCGGTGCCGATCAACCAATTAGGCGGCATAGAAGGGAGCCTAGGACGCCATCTTCTGAGGGGGCCACCAATCAGCACTGCGTGGGGGGCCCAGGGGCCTATACCCCCACCCCATCAATACATGCACCAGCATGTTGTTAGTTTACCTTGAACTCCCTTTTACTGTTTATTGTACCCCTTGGCTTCTTCACTGATCTTGATGTGTTTCTAACAGAACAGCTGGAGAGTTATTATTGTTCTGTATTTGTTGCACCTTGAATGGCATCTCTGCAGTACTCTGCAAATACGCTTTCATATTAATCTAGGTTTCACGCCAGAAGTCTGGCCTTCAAGCCTGTTCACTCCCAGTCTGTTTACCAGCAGACACTGTCATTTGACTGTTAAACCTACATTTAATTTTGAAATGGGAAGAAGCAATAGTCTGTTTTTAACTTGGATAATATCTGGTATTATGTGACACAGACCTCCATTTACTCGACGTTACAGGGGGAGGTAAGCTGGAACGGCAGGTCAATAAAGTAACTGTCGTTGGTGGTGGTGACCTTGGAATGGCCTCTGTGCTGAGTATTTTGGCCAAGGTAATATTTTCTCTCTTACCATGTGTAAAAGATAACGCCTTTTCTGACCTTTGCTGTTCATTGTGGCTTAACATTGATTTCTCACCTCTCAACATCCAAGTCAAAGGACAGCATAGACAAGCTGGTCCTTGTCGACCTCAGCGAGGCCTCTGCTAAAGGTGGGACGATGGACTTGGAGATGTTCCATCTGCCAAACCTAGAGGTGTCAAAAGGTACGCCCAGGAACTGAATCGATCTGCTCAAAAATGATAGGAGAGGTATTGCTGATGTAAGGACACCAGGTAACGTCCTTCTCTCTATCCTCGGACCAGATTTGGCGTCATCGGTGGGATCGAAGATCGTGGTGATGACTGCGAACGCGTGGAGCAATGAGCAGTCCTACGTCAGTGTTGTCCAGACCAACGTAGACCTTTACCGAGGCATCATCCCCAGCCTGGCTCGTTTAAGCCCCAACGCAGTGATGCTCATTGCCTCACAGCCAGGTGTGACTCCTGCTTGTCCCACCTCTCTCATGACTCACTATTACCTCAGATAAGGTGACCATTTTGCACCATATGGACATCAGAGATGTTTTAAGTTTCTCTTAGGCCATAATGGAGCAGTCGTCACTGTTCTCAACAGTAGTATAGTTTAACAATCCCTGTCTTACTGTATCTTCCATTGTGTCAGTCCCCCATATTCTGGTGATAGTATTGGCCCACTTCTTATGGTCGTCTCCTGATTGCCCTTCTGCGACTCAGTAACTATTCTAGTTTTCTCTCTTTTGGTACTTTCCCTCCTATCCCTCGCTTTTGGGCCTTTTCCTTCCAGTGGACATCATGACCTACGTAGCATGGAAACAGAGTGGACTCCCTCCTTCCCGAGTTATTGGTGCCGGTTGCAATCTGGACTCCGAGAGGCTCAACTACATCCTCAATGTGGAGCTGATGGCCCAAAGCATCGGGAAACTGGCCTTTGTTATCGGAGAGCTGTCTGACAATAAAGGTCAGCTTACTTCGCTTATGCAGACACAACAGTTCTGCCGAAATATAGATCGCTACTGGAGGTCACTCCTGCCCGTGGCAATAACCGTCCACAAATATGGAAGGAGACTCTCCTCCTCTGAGGCAATATACAATGCACATTTACATTTATTTTGCACACTAAAGGTATTTTTGCATATTTGTACACACTTATTTGTAATTCAGTGTTATGTCTCAGCTTATGCCTAGTGTCTGTGTATTCCTGTCGTTTATGTAAATGGGTTCTGCAACACAAAAATTTCCCCCTTGGGGATAAAAAAAATAATAATAATCTGAATCTGAATTTGAATCTGAATCATCAAGCATCCAGTTATGTTGCTGTGCTTAAGGTCTGTACATCACGGGGTTTAATATTGAAAGATATAAATGTTAAATATACCAGAATATATACAGATTATCAATGTGGTCTTTTCCAGTGGCTGTTTGGACTCCTATGGTGCCGGTGCCCAACTCCCACTCGGCACTGGTGACATCTGACGCTACCAAACCGCTGATAGACAGGTAAAGCAACGAAGGCTCACACAGTGGTCAACACGGGTTAGGGATTCCGTTTTGCCTGATGGTGTGAACGCCCGTGCGATATCTGGCAGAGCGTTTGACAAGCTGAAGGAGAAGGGCCAGCGCTCATGGTCGGTGGGGCTGTCCATCGCAGACGTCACCCACAGCATCCTGGAGGATAAGGGGAAGATCCATTCGGTCTCCACGCTGGCTCAGGTAAATATACATGTATTTATATGAGTCCCGTCCCTGCTCCGCCCACTGGCAGGGACTCTAGACCAGGTTGATGGTATCTCCTTGCCATGTGATCATTTATACGCGTTCCGATTGGTGGAATGAGGATGGGTATTCTAGGAAGTGCTCCTTTGTGTCTTAGGGTTGGTGTGGCATCGGGGCCGAGGTGTTCCTCAGCCTGCCCTGTGCGCTAGGTGGCACTGGGTCGGCACGACTTGCTGGCGTGGCATTGGGACCTGAGGAGGACACCAAGCTGAGGGAGAGTGCCATGACACTGAGCAACTTCCTCCTGCAGCTCAGGATCTAGCAGACTCCTTCGTCTGTCAACATGGACAACGATTTCCGTCGCCAATTCAGTCCTGCAAATGAGATTTCCAGAGGCCTTGCACTTCCCTGTTTTAAGAGCCGCAGTGAGGCTCTGTGGTTTCAGTTGATCTAGCAGCCTGGGTCAGAGGTTAACACCTATGTCACACTCGGTATGCCATGTGACGTTCATCCACATGGTCCACCAAATATAGATTCTGGAGTTTTTGAGTCCAGGTTAACACATTGTTGCCTTGATGTCTTTCATGGGTTTTATGTTATAAAATTGGGCCTCACTTGGTCAAAGACCTCAGAACATAAATGTAGTGTTTTTTTCAGAGGCCTGAGAATTTGTAGGGGGTTTCATTCCCCCAAGGTACAGGGCCCACAGTCCCTGATCTGCAACTACACCTCAGATTTCTGTGTATATGTAATCATTTAAAACCATAACTGAGAAATGTAGCATTTCCACTAGCTACCCATTACTTGAATAATCATTAAATGTACTGAATAATAATTAATATCAATATGGCAATAATAATATAACTTTAGTCACTTATTAGTAAATGGGGGGGGTGTTATATATTTTTTATATCAGTGCTGATCAGATTTTTTGGATTTACTAACCACCTAATATTTTTGACATGCATTACTGGGCTGCTTTGTTGGAAACCTTGGTCTTTACACTTAAATATATACATTTACAGTAATTTATGTACTTTTTATTATGCAATTAAAACCCACAAGATTGTGTGTCCATCAGTGGGGCACAGCGTGTTCTGCACGTCATAAACCTTGTCATGGATTTTTGGTAACATGCTATTTGATGGGGCACAAATACTTAGTAATGACTAATTTTCTACTGAAGTACAAATCATGAACAAATATAGTTGCTACTTGAGATAAAAGATGCATCATGATTCACTAATAATGAACAAACCTAAAATTGTGTAACTTGTGTTACTCATTACTTGTTCCTTCATTAGTTCCTTCATTAGATGAGAATTGGATATAGGAACAAATACAGTAACTGCTTGGGATAGAACGTGTCATGATTCGTTAATGATGAATTAATGTGAGATCAGTATGTAACTAAGACATAATTTGTGGTTAATAAACACATACGTAACAGTATAATACTATATTTGTGCACCATCAAGTAAAGTGTTTCCGGATTTTTGCACACTGAGAATTGTATGTTAGTCTTCGACGAAAACACCAAAGTTAATTCACTGAGCTGTTTTTTATGCTTTTTTAAGTCCAGTGTCTTTACTGATGGATTTGGAGTGAATTTAGCTGTCCCTTTTATGTGCTCTACATTATTTTAGGGTTAATGGCTTGTTCAGAAGTGTTACCCTGGCTTTTATGAAGGAATGTTTAATGTTGTCACGTTGTCTGTCTTTGTGGTGTGTCATGGTGGTTCCTGTATATCCTGTAACCTTCACATATTGTTTGATACTCGCACTGCAACATTTAACACCTCAGAACTGGTGTTCAGAATCTTGTATGTTTCCACTGAACTTTGTCTGTTGTGTTTGAGCATCAAAATGAGATTAAAGAATACAAACACACAAATTAGGAACTTTTCTTGCTTTCCAAACAACTGTGTTCATTACAACAGTACTTGCAATATTTACACCCTGAAGACCTCAGTAAAAGCAAAGGCTTTAGTTGGAGCCCTTGAACTCCTTAAGGAAGGAATGTACATCCATGTTAACACAGAACAGATGAATCTAAAGACACAAACTGGAAGCTCTTTACCTGGTTTTGTATGCAATACAAGGTGCAGAACAATTAAAAATTAAATTGGTACACGATATATAACCTATCACACTAATAAGCTAAGAAAGCAGCTGAAGGAAAACCTCAGGTATATTTCCTGCCATAAGCCCACTGCTTGTCTGCTATACTGAAACCTGCCATTACCAAAAGCTCGTTTTGTCTTTTGTGCGTGCATTTCTTATTGCTACTTGATCCAGTAAACAGTGAGGCCTTGTGTGCTCGCAACGTAAGACGTCCATATCTGTCATCTGAACATGCCAGGAGTTACGAACATATTTGTTGTTTTACCAAAGGCAGCAATTTAACATACTAGGAATTTCCAGTGAACTATGCGGAAAAAAAAAACTATGGCGAAAAAAAAACATATTTATATATAAAAGATGTGCAAAACAAACTCTCCACCAGGTGGAGCTATAGAATCGCTATAATCGGGGGGCAGTATAATCTGGACAATTAAGTACAAATCCAAAAACTTTCTGTCTGTATGCCTCAATGTAAAAGACTGAATCCAACTTATGTGAGCTGTTCTGACTTCCACACAGCTAAATTGCTGCACAGTTAATCCAATTTCGTCCTACATTTAGCTAAATGACTCGCATCTTTAATTTTTACATAAACTTTGACTTCAGAAAATATGTACATTATTGCAACAAAAATATAATTGGCATAGTAATGCAAAATGATTTCAAATCTTTTAAAAACCTATGTGAGGACTGAACAGACAACCAAGAGGGAAATTACACAATAATATCTGGTGTCCAAATGTGATCTGGTGCATTTGCAAAATCAAAGACTTTGTCTGATGTCATTTTTTTTTTCTCCTGTGCGGAAAATGCTTGGAGAATCACACAGAGTAAGATCCACAGCAGCAGCTTTCAAACAAACTCCTCTGTGTATAAGGGGGATTGCCATTGTACCGGCAGACTGAGAGGACAGTTAATGGTGCCACGTGCCTGTCAATCACTGAAATCAGGACAACGATTGGTTGCTTTTGTGCAGGGAACCCACCCACATGAAACAGTGACTGTTGTCAGTATAGGCCCTGTTGATGAGTTCACGTGGCTACAGTAGAGCTGAAGCGAGGAACAATCGTTCCTCACTGACAACTGTTAATATTTGTTCTGAAGTGCCCTGATACTCTTAACTTTCTGCAGCAATATAATAATGCTAAGTAAATAAGACATTACTCCTACAAACAGGAAAAATACAGACTATAAAAAAGAAAGCACCAGTCTGTCAGGACACGGCACTGTACCATACAGAAACAATAATATCTACATACTTCGCTTACTTGTTTGTCACAAGAGCTTTGCTATCCCTAGAAAACCATTAATCACTGTTGTTTATTAACAAAACTATCCAAAAAAAGTTGAGCACATTTTCTTATTTTTTTCCTAGCTGAGAAGCGTTTTATCAAAGTAAAATGTTCTAAGTCTAGTCGCTGCAGGTCAACATTTTAAAAATCTATTAAAATATAATTAGAAAAGTCATTTACACTGAAAAGCATAGGAATCTGTACATATCAACCAAAACTGGTAAAAATCAGAACAATAGTTTTGCTATGTAGCAACTCTGACATTATAAAAAAATGAAGTATTCTCTTCCTTTGCTTGGTAAGATGGCAGTAGGACACAGAAGCTGTGGCCAGGCAGGTCCCAATATGCCAGTCCTGGGGTCGTGGGCTAAAACGTCACCGATTTGGGAAGCCGAAGGTCAGGGATGGGTATTTGGTGAAAGTCGGAGTCTGAATGGACCGATGGTACTCCCTTTGTTTCTTCTGGAGGTCTGGTGGCTGTAGAGGAACATGGTGGTCTTACCGCATCATCCTCCTCAATCAGCCGTCCTCCGCTCTGTTCGTCACTCTCCTCCATCTGGGAAAGCTGGAACCGAACCTGTTGTTCCACTAAGCAGGGAGGAAGGTTGGACAGACCTGTGTCATGCTCCAGTTTTTGCCTAGGTGGGAGAGGGGGGGCTGGCTTTACAGGTGCTGTGGATGACGTCTGTTCTGCAGTGGGTCCTTCTGGAAGGCCGCAGATCCCCAGATTTTCCTGAAGCTTCCCTTCCAGTAAGGAACTCTGGGGAAGGGCAGATGCGCTCTCCAACAGCTGAGCCAGACACTTATCCTTTTCCATGTCCCTCCCACAGTTGTCATGCTGGGTGATGTCAGAGGGGCAAATTTCTGTTGGACCCTGGACGCCTACGATATGTACTGAGTTCCCGCTCGGGCTGTGTGGGGCTCCGGGCAATGAGGAGACGGGGGGGTCTCCAGAAGGGGACACGAGGTAAGAAGCATGTTGTCCTGAGATAAGGGGACTGCTCCTTGTGGAGGCAGAGAGAGCAGTGTCTGCTTCTGCAGATGTCTCCACAGAGAGAGGAAGGGCCAGTGAAGCATCTGACATATCTGAAGACCCCAGATCCCCAATGCCAACCTCAGGCGGCCAATGAGGAGGCACCCTGTCCTCTAGTACTTCCTTAATTTCTACAGGCCTTTGGCCCTTATCTGGATCATTCTCATCTGACCCCGGGATATTCTCGAAGGAGTCCATACCAGATGGTTCCCTGTCCCCATACCCCTTCTTAGTATAGAGGTCTTTGTCCCTTGAGCTGGGTGGAGTCAGAATCCCAGGCGGAAGCTCATCCGGTGCATAGGATCTCTGTTGGTGCACCTGCACGGGGTCAGGCGAAGGCAAACTGTAAGAGTCCTCATCAGCAGGGGTGGAGTAGTCCCACTGGCCACTAGGGGGAGGACTTTCAGCAAGCACAATGGCATCCGATTCAGGAGCCGGCGGTGACATCGGCTCCTCCCCGACCGGACTCTGTCCGTTGGCAGCCTGGGGAAGCTTCATAGGCGTCAACAGCAGCGGCAGCTCGATTCCTAGGGTCCTCTTGGGCAACTCCTCAGCTTTGGCTGGAAATGACAACGGCAAGGAACGTTCACACCCCTGTGTATTTATGGTCACAGGTTGTCACACCTGTGTGTGACATTCACTCTCACAGCGACAGCACCCCTTACAGATCAAACATTGGGGACTGTACACCTCAGTGCCAGGAATCACTAATCAACGGAAAGGCCCAGAGGGGTTACGATGCGGCATCTGGACCTGGAGGGGGGAGGTCGAGCTTCATCTTGCGCAGTTCCGACAAGGACGTCTGCAGCTGCTCCACGACGGTGTCGTCGCTCATGTAGAAAGATCCGGCAATTTCCTCCTGCAGAAACTCCCTCAGGTCCTCCAGACACATCTTCAGCAGGCGCTCTAGAGGAAAGACACCAAGCAGAAGTGGACATGAACCACTTAAACTGCACCATTTGCTGTATTTTTTGACCCCACTAGATAGTGCTCTCTGTTCATAAAAGCGTTCAAAGCATGCCCCAAAGCAAGCCAACAGCACCATCTAGTGGGGTCAAAAAGTACAGAAAATGGTTCATAAAAGTTCGTTTGGCCATCTCTATGAATCGGCCACCGAGGTCTCAGGGATCGCTTGGATGACTGGCACTCACTCTTGTGCAGTTTGAGGATGGTGTAGGCCATGGCTATTAAGATCTTCTCTCCTTCCAGGATGTAGATGTCCCACAAACGCAAGGTTAGCGTGAAAGGCGTCTGTTCAGGGGCAAAACCATTATTTTAAAATTTACAGTCTCAATGAGCGTGAGGCTAAGGGCTAAAAAAAAGACAGGTTTTAATTAAAATGTCACCCCGCAGTCTCACTGCTGTTTTTGCAAAATTTTAAATCCGAGGGTTCACTGATTGCTAAACGTAAAATGTGAAATTTCACAAAACCCAGAGACTCAAAATAAACAACCACAATTGTACAATGTCTTGCCGCATTTGGCGCCGTCATCTGTCTGGCCACGTGCAGGGGCAAAAAAGCAATCTGCCTCACCCCTGCTGTCTCACACGCTGCTAACCACTGGAGAGCAAGTGCCAGTGGTTAAGGGGGGGGGGCAAGGCAAATGGTTTGTACAATTGATATGATTTGGCACTATTTTCAGTTGCTTTAGTCTTGTTGGTCAAAATAGATTATGTAGTTTCCCATGGTAATAATTTTACACACAAAACTACATATGTATGAGGTCATTATGTTAGCCACCGCATACAAAACAGTTAACCAAGCTTTCAAAATAATTATACAATATATTCCATAAATTGCAGTGATAATGGCATTGTATCTTTGGTTCCCACAGTATATAATTGTTTTGTGATTTTGTTGTTTGTATGTTTCCATTTTGCTATTTTTGTGTTATACAGTGCCGTGTGACTGTTTTATTTGCTATTATTGCACTGTGTGCTGAGATCTGAAGAAGTTACATGTGCATGCGAGTGCTTTGTCCTGCCAGTGAAGGTTTAGCCTTGCAATATTGAAACTGGGTTCTTTTACATGAATAAGTAGCAGTTTACTAAAAAAAAAAAAGATCAGTCAGTGACAACGAGAAAATGATAACCGTCTGTCATTCAGAATCGTGGAGCTCAGGACCAAACTCACACTGACATTTTATATATCTAATATAAATCAATATATCTAAGCATTTTCACTCTCATGGTTACAATGATGCTTGTTGTACTTTTCATTTTGGTGGCCTTGACTAATAAATTGTTGGAATTATTTACTATTTAGACATGAGTTAATTGTTTTGGCTAAGCTATAGGCTTTTGCTGCTAAACTAAAGTGTTGTGCTGTACGCATGAACTGTTTTGAAAAATGCTCTTATAGTCCTGAGAATGTTTCATGAAAGGCGCCAAAGCAATCGAGGAAAATTGTAACAGGTTTCGATTATATTCATGTACATAAACACAACAGCCAACTAACCACAATACAGCAATTTATTATAATTGCTGAAATACAAACTGTGGTTCTAATACACTGGGGTCATGCAGTGAGTCAGAGTGTTCTATACCACCCCTGACATTCTTTCAGAATGTCATCATTACATGATGTAACAGTGGCTCATTCTAGCCTAAAACAGTCCCTCACGCAGCACGGCAAACTGCTGAGGCTTCAGACCTGTTTACTGCTTTGAACAAAACACACAAAAACCAAAAACTGTGCTTGACTTTAATTCATGTCAACTTCCTGCTAACTCTTGCTCTGAAATGAGAAAAAAAAAATCTGATGCTCTAATAGTTCATAAATGTGCAAGAGAAGGAGTTTGTTTTGTTAAACTCTCTCCATGGGATCTATTGTTCTATGGATTTACTGAGTTTATGGGGAATTTTTTTTTCAATGGCTTCCAAAAAGATAACAAAACCTGCACAAACATATGCGTGGGAGTTATTTGCAGACGTTCTGGACTCACCCTCTCTATAAAACACTGCAGGAACCATTTGGTGGTATAAATCCCCACAGTCATCTGCTCTTTGTCCTGAACACAGACAGAAATATACAGTCAAACACGCGCCCAGCAAGTCCAATGTCGTTGCACACAATAAACAGTTTACATTATCTTTTTCCAGTCATTCCAGTGGTTCCCTTTTCCAACATCTTTCCCCTGGTTTTTTTCTTATTTTTTCTGCTGGTGGGCAGGAAGCTTTACCAGGTGTTTCTTTAGTTTGGGGATCAGCTTGGAGAGGATCTGGTCATGGTGGACCTGGAATCGCTGAAGTTTGGGAAAACCGGGAATGAAGAAGCCTTTGGAGAGAGGGAGAGCTTGTGAATATGCCTGCAAGGACACTGACCGGCAGAAGAATATCCCAGGGTGAAGATTAATGTCTGGCAAGGACACGCTGGCCAGTTCACCAGCATGAAGTACAACATAAATTAAAGATGCAAACTTCCACAGCGCTTTTCATGGTATGGGCACACGACTCTAAGGAAACTATGACTTCTGCTGTTCTTTCCATCCCAGCCATTTCTCTGAGGTTCCAATGTACTTAAGGAGCCACTCTGCCTCTCAGGCAGCCTCGCTGGGTGGCCTTCAGAGGCGGACTCCACCCAGGTCTGGCGGAAAGTGCCCCCCCCGGGGCCTTGAGGCTGGAGGTCTGCTGCGTGCAGCCAGGGGCCCGGGGCAGACTTACCGTGCATGGTGTGCTTCTGGCTGGTCAGCAGCTGGGATAAGGCCCAGAAGGCGTCCTCCTCGTTCATGTACATCAGCAGAATGGCAGCGATCTGACTCATGCCTTGGCAGTAGCTCACCTCCTATGCAGAAAACAAGGGGCATGTGAGTGTTTTAACTACTTTAAGAGTAAAAGTCCAGACCGGGATTTTGTTTAAACCAACCGGTTGAATACTCTGTGACTCTTTACAAAATCTTGGTCTGGACATTTACTCTCTGGACCTGAATTAGCCAACTCTGGTTTTAACTGAGCCCCCGAGTGACCGCAAAACCCCCAGCCAACATGATCAGCAGGATGATAATCACCTTTGTCCAAATTCAAGGTGGTACAACTGCATCGGCCTGCACAATAATATCTAATATCTATCAAAACTGGCCCATCGGTATTTAGCACGCAAATCACTGGCACTACAAATCCCAGACTGCATGGCGATAGCTGGCATGTTGCTGGGCTACATGATATCAGATCGCAATGTACTTGCGATTATATGGCGCATATGCAATAATCACCAGGGCTTTAGAATGCCAGCTTTTTGGTACTATACCAACGTTTACTTACCTCCACAATTTGGTAAGCAGAGTTTTGTTTCCTCTCATTTGTTTAGTCTATAAGCTTGGTTTATTTTGAATTCTAAGATGTCTTGGGAGAAGTTAAGTTCATATTTCTGTGTGAATAGTGCATCATAATACATCTAACTAAACATATAAAATTAAGACTGTTTTTCAATAAATATTGACCTATTTTGGCGCTCAAACAAATCAAAGTTTTTAATTTTGCCCCCCCCCGTGATTCAGTTTGACACCCCTGCCCCCCCCACTTTGACTGAACAGTTGTGTCTGCCCAACGTTTCCGAGTCGCTTACTCATTTGGACATACATTGGGCAGCCGAGTGATCTTCCCTCTACAAAATGTGTTCCTCATTTTTCATTACAGTTTTTCTCGATTGCTTTGGCACCTTTCATGAAACATACTTAACATTCTCACGACTGTAAGAGCATTTCTCAAAACAGTTCATGCATTTGGCACAACACTATGGTTTAGCTGCAAATTCTGTAACTTAGCCGAAACAATTAACTCATAACTCAAAAGCAAATAATTCCACCAATGAATTAGTCAGTGCCACCAAAATGAAAATCTGTATCGTTTTAACCAAGAGTCAAAATGCTTAGATATTTTGGCAAAATGTCACTGACATCAGTTTCAACATTGCAAGGCTCTACATTACAGTATGTAAAGTTCACTGGCAAGAGGAAGCAATCAAATGAACCTGTAATTTCTTCAGATCTCATGACACAGTACAATAGCAAACAAAATAGCCACTAAGCAAAATGGCAAAAACAACAAGATGAAAACAAAGGCATGTACTGTGGGAACCAAAAAACACAGCAATGACGTATCACTGCTGTTCATAGAATGTATTTTTAAATCATTAGCCGTTTTGCATGTGGTGACTATTTGATGATCAGACACAAATATAGTTTTGGGTGTAAAATCATTGCAATGGGAACCTGCATCATATATTTTGACCAACAAGGCTAAAGCAACTGAAAATTGTGCCAAACGATGACGTTGTATAAAACCATTTGCATGTTTGAACTAAAACATTTGGAAATTGTGCAATTGAGCAGAAGTGACATTATGTTGTGGGGATTTCACTTTCACTGGTTTTGCAAATGTTAGTTGTCATTTGAGAAATGCTCCAAAGCAATCGAGAAAAACTGTAACAAAAGCATGTCAGACATCAAATATTCATTCATACAGCAGCCTGGGAAACAGGTTCTGCTTAAAACATTATGCATTTCTGCTAAAACCTTCCAATCATTGACAAATTCACCTCAGCATGGACAGCTGCCTATAAGCAGTGAGTCAGAAAGGCTCTGCAGATGTTCCTGCTTGGGGACCAAGACCCTGACTGTTACACCATGCCATGAAAACTGTGACCTTTGACCCTTTTGTCTGTCTCCCTGCCACCATATGCGAAACTGCTCAGGACCATTTATTACAGACTGAATGCTATTGGCTGATGCCTGGGCAACGCAGGACAGGATGTCCTCTCCGGGGGCCCTTACTGTTGCATTACACAACAGCTACTTACACGCACTCACCGTGTTGTAGACGGAGTAGGCTGCCAGCACATGGAACAATTCCTGTTGCCTGGGAACAGAGGAATAGCCATCAAAATCTAAATCTACGACAAGGGATCGTTTGCATCAGCGCTACAGATATAACTGGGAAAAATGAGGCTTTGAACAAGAAAGTGGGCATGGCCATTATGTGCCATCAATCACTGACTGGCTGATGCGGCTGTCCGTCGATAACTTTGCTGATTTCCATTGGTTTAAACTGGGGAAGGATTGACAGTGCATCCCAGTCACCTCAGATCATAAAGCCTTAATTAATAAACTAAATTGTGTTTATTTATCTGTTCAGGATCTATTTTTTCACAGACAGATACCTTTTGCAACCACTCAAGTGGTCAATTGGCTCCTGAAAGGGATATAATTGAAATCGTCCAGGGAGAGGCCTCAGTGTGGCTCTCGCCGCTCGCTTATTTCCTCTCCAAAGTCCCCTGCACTCACAAGGCCACCCCCCCCCCCCACATCTGCACACTTCAAATTATTAGCAGAGCTCCCTGGATTCGCAAGACTTTCCGCGGCTGCCTTTGCAATGGGGCCTGCAACCCATTATGCGGCGGCCGCCGTCGACGTCACCGTGCTGCTGGCCCGCGCTCGGCTGCTCTGACCAAAAATGGCCCTGGAGAGATTCGGAACAGGCGGACGCCGACAGAGGGGCACGCGCGGGGCAGAAGCGAGAGCACGGCGGACCCCCCCTGTCGCTCTACAACCCGAGCGGCTCCTCTCACAGCCTGACGTAGCCTTCTGACCCAGCAGTGGCCAGTTCAGAAAAATGGCCCCCTTTTGGCATGTTAAAAGACTTTATGCGCTAATTAAGGTATCGCGGGGGTGGGGGGGTGATATCCAAACAGACAGGATGGGCCCCAACAATCAGGAAACCAGCTTCCCAGCTGCCTCTCTGAGGAATAAGGGCCACTGTTGTGGCTGTTGCCTCAGTAAATGATGCAATAACCTCAGGTTAAGTTCATACAGGTAACTTGCCCAAAAATGTTCAAAAGCCCCCGTGTGCTCAGGCTGAGTAAGGAAGGAGCGATATTTCCTACAAGGGCTCTGACTTTCTGACAGGAAGGTTAATAAAACACTCAGCCAGGGGGGAGGAAGCCAAACTTGCACACAGCATAAAAGGATTCAGACCTCTTTCGGAGATATTTAGAGATAAGCACGAAATAGCAGAAACCAGTAAACAAAAAATATCTAAAAAAAAAAAAAAAAAAAAAAAAACAGGCGACGACAGGAAAAGGAGAGTAAAAATAAGGCAAGCTTAAAATGAGCTGCTGAGAGGACAATTCCTGCCTGCTAAGACGGGGCTTCCTGGTCAGAAACACCGAGGCTGGCATCAGAAATGACATCACATATTATTGCTTAGCAAACACTTATATCCAAAGCAGCTTACGTAGCTTAGGAATATAATATATACGGCTGAATATACTGTGTTAGAAATGATTCCGTGTGCAGCCTGGTAGAAATACACACCCACTCGCTGCCTTTTTGAACATAATAAAAAAGGATTTTTTGTGTTTGGATTCCTGACATCTTCTACAAAGACACCAGCCCGGAGGCTTTAGGGTCCTAACTGGTCAGACCAGTTTGTTCCGTGGTTCCTCTGTACTGTTTAGAAACTAAATGCCAGAAGACTTAGGTTTCGTCTGCAAGGATGACAAGGGCATTCTTTTAGGTGGTCATACCAGAGTTTGCTGTTAGGCTGATATGTCAACTGTACCTTTACTTTACAGCGCTGTGGACCAACAAACTTCTGGTGGGACTGTAGGCTCCAAATCACTGATCTGCACCAAGTGTTGCACCACTAAAGATAATATGGGTTTATAAGGTATATGTGTGTGTGTGTGTGTGTGTGTGTGTGTGTGTGTGTGTGTGTGTGTGCTACATATGTTTACCCTACATGTGTGTGCGTGTGTGTGTGTGCGTGTGTGTGTCTGCTTCCACAGGGGGGAACATACTTGACTCCGAAGCGGTCCATGAACATAATGTGGTTCCGAAAGGTCCGGTTGACATCAAGGTCAATTTGTTTGATCTCTGTGGAGTGGGTCCTGGCTTGTTTCTTCATTTTCTGTAAACAGAAATAAACAGGCATGTACAGTAGCCCCCCCATTAACTGACCCGGCTCCTCCACGCCTCTGGCATTGGCCGTCGTCCTGCTAACACCCCTCTCTAGCTCTTCCATGCACAAATTATTTAAAAAACAGGTTCTTTAGCTGGTTCTCCTGCACCGTCATGGATCTGCCCTAGCCCCCTCCCTCAGAAATGCAGGTGAGCCTCGGTCGTCCTTAGCTGCGCAGACCATGTGCTAACGAACATCTTAAATCAAATAGTGACAAGCTTGCCCCCCCCCCCCCCAAGCACGAGAGAGGCAGCATAGCACCAGAGAGAATTTACAAAACACATTAAACACTAGAACTCCAAAAGAACAAAAGTACACCCTGAGAATGACTTTCACAGCAGACACAGGCTGATGTCAGCACACGCTCAAAGAGAACAGTAGCTACGTTTTTTTTTTTTTTTTTTTTTATCTCTTAACCACCAATCGGTCTGTTTAATGAGTTTGCGACAGGATCAGTGTTTGTGATCTGAGGCCCTCGGTTTGTGATAGGCTCCTGACGCAGTCACATGGTGTCGCTCCATGTCCAATCGCACCTTAGTGCTACACGCTGTTTCTTCCCCAGGCCCATGCAGGATTTATAGATTTTTTTCACCATATCCTGCGTTCGCATCTCTTCACAGCGAGAATAGGGCAGGTCCTAAATTTCACACCGATGTCACAGTTGGCCCAGTGTCAGCTTCCCGAGGGGGGGGGGGTCCTCCGCTAGCACCATCGACGCGCTGTTTCAAGCCCTCAGCTGTGCGGTCCGGTGCTCGGAATAGACAGTCAGCTATGCTAAGCCGTTGTTTCCAATGGGATCCAGACACGCTCATAATAATCTGTGAAATATAGCCCTGTCCTGTTTCCCAGCTCCACCGCAGAGCCACCTTAACTTTGCTCTCGTTTCCTCAAGCTTAAAATGGAAAACGGCTCTCGTTTATTAAGAGGGTCAGGGCTAATGTAAGCAAAAGGGCACGGATTGGGCAGAACGAGGTACGATTTGTTCAGCGTCAGCGAATGAGGGAACAAAAAATCCTGCGATAAGGGGCAGCGCCCCCTTCCTGACACGGCTGGCTCATGCCTCCATATCGTTTTATCTCGGCATCCGATCTCCCCCCCGTTGCCCACACTTAGCACCCCACCATACGGTAACTGGGGGGTGGCAGGCTACACACCTCCCGCACACCCCTGCTGCCACTCTGTCCCAGGTAAGGCTGTGAGAAAATCGCTGACGCAGTAATGGCCGGAGATGCGTCTGCAATGGTTGTAAAAACGTCACCGTTATTGGCCAGCTGGTGGGGCCTACGGTCCAGCGGGGAAGCCCCCAAGGGGGACGTGAGGACACCCCCCCCCCGGCAGCCACCTACCTCATACTTCCCGAGGTTGTCATTCTTCACCTTCTCAACGTCCAGGAGGAGAGACCAGGCCTGCCCCCGCAGCTGCAGAGGGATCCCCTTGTAGACCCTGCGAATCATCTGCGGGGGAGGGGGGCAGAGGATTAGGGCCTCGGCTAGGCCGCCTCCAGCAGGAGCCCCTTTTCCTCCCCCCCACGTGACCCGCACCTTCTCACTGTTCCTGTACTTCTCCCATTTTTTCACCATCTTTAGCCATTTCTCCACCCTTTCAATTTCTTGTTGTTTTTGCTGCAGAGAGATAAGCAGCTAAGGAGACGCGGAACAGACCAGACAGCAGCACCTTACAGAAGAACACATTTATGTCACATAGAATATAACTAAGTTCACAGTTTCTGGGCTGAAATGGTCTTTTCATGGCAATGAAAGATGACGACGACAATGGCGATGAAGCACAGCGTCAAATGCTGATTCCGGTGAATTCCAGGTGTCTGCAAAGAGGCGGCTGACCCTCTGCTCATGACCACATTTCCAGATGGCGTGTTTTTTAGTTTCCTACAGTCCTTGGTTACCTCACTACTTTCTGTGTGTCTGAGCATTAGTGCACGTATAAGTGTCGTCAGCGTGATATTGCACACGCTGGTGACATGGACGTCGCCCTGCATACCTTCGCCTCGTCCGCACTCGGGGTCGGCAGTTCGTTCTCGCTGCAGGACAGACGAGGACACGGTTAGGCCAGAGCACGCTTTCGCCCCCCCCCACCCCCCCCCACAGTTATCTTAACAATAACGCCTGCACTTCTCTTGCTGAGACAGGCCGCAGTCATATTGTCTTAGCAACCGGAATCTGTTCGTTCATTATAAATGGAAATAGGACCGCATCCAAACCTAACCCTAACCCTAACCCTAACCCTAACCCTAACCCTAACCCTAACCGGTGACTCATTCCAGCGTCCAGGGCTCCACCCACCATATCTCCTCACTGTTCCCACGCCCCACCCTCCCTCATTGGTCAGACTCGCCCCCTTCCTGGATGGCTCTGGCCTCACCACCCTTGTAACCTACAACCTCGCTAGCCAGTCATCCTCGCCCTCCCTCCCTGGTTGGCTCCGCCCTCTCTCCCTTGTTGCCTCCACCCTCTCCCCGGTTGACTCCACCTTTCCTCCCTGATTGGCCACACCCTCCCTCTCATCACCCCACCCTCCCTCCCTGATTGGCCACACCCTCCCTCTCATCACCCCACCCTCCCTCCCTGGTTGGCTCCGCCCTCTCTCCCAGGTTAGCTCCCAGTCTACTTACTGCAGGAAGCCGAAGCGATCTGTGAACTTGTAGATGCTGTAGTCAGCATCCTCCCACGGGTCAATGTGCACACCTTGCTCCCTGCCCTGAGAAGCATGGAGATATAGACATTCAGAACGCTGTAGCATCGAGGTTTGGCCTGACGGGGGTGGGGCCATGCAACTGGGCGGCATGCGTGACTGCGGGCGATGCCATTCTGCTGGCTAAGATGGCGAAATCCACAGGAGCGTCACACAGAAACCTCAAATCGCCAACACTGTGTTTTTATAGTACAGCATGATAACATCACTGCTTGTTTTCAAAGATTTTTTTTTTAAGTTTTGTTTAGTGTTGTTTTGGCCCCGGTTCCATGACAACTAGTACTTCTAAAAATGGCACCATGCTTGTGCATTAGAGATAGCAGCGATGCTGTCAGGACCCGTACACCCTGTATCATCCAAAAAGAAAGACATGCATGTGTCCCTGCTCCGCTACTGGTACGGTGGAGTTTCAGCCAGATCAGCCAGCTCCTCACAGCCTCCATGTCTGTCAAGATGTGACCATTCAGCACTCAGGACACACAGGTCATGATATCAAGGGAGTTGCAGAATGAAAAATGAGTGGTTCAGAGAGATAACCAATCAGATTGTAGAGGAGGTGGGTCCAAGAAACTCTAGTTGCTTAAACCCACCACCTCTACAGTCTGATTGGTTACCTATCAGAACCAATCATTTTTTGTTCTGCCCATTTTTGTAAGTATGTAAGTAAAACTCCCACAAGCAGGTCTTCACTGCAGTCGCATACATGGGCACGCGTGCCATTCCCAACCCATGCACTCCTGCCAATTTGGAGTAACAAATCAGGCCGAACACCAAACAGTGTCTGTCTCTGATCTTTAAATTCTCATTGGCCCTGGGGTGCAGTAGGCAGGACCATAGTGATACTGTACTTTAGTAATAATGTGCAGTTTCCCCAACAGGCTGTCAAGGTCAAGGGCGTACGATGGACATACGTTCCTTTTACATGCAGGTAACCCAGGGTATAGAAGGAATTTGGACAGAAGCAGAAGCAGAGATGAGTGGCCCACAAAGACCCACAGACACCATCATTTCAGAAGTAATTACAGGAATTAGAACTCGGGGGGGGGGGGGTGCAATTAACCTTTATGAGACAGACAAGAGCAAAGAAATGCTAAATGTCATGTGACATGAGTTGAAAACATCAACGCAAAGTTCATAATGGGTTTCAAGTTCCCTTCTCTGCACCTCATCTGCCAACTAGGGCCAGGTTTGGAAACGCAGAACTTTCTCGGTATGACCCACACACCCACTGAGCAACTAGGGGGGGGGAAGAGAAAAGAGGAGGGTCTCAGTATCCCGTGTGTGTGAGCTGAGGGGGGGATGTAATCTCAGATGTACTGCAGTCAGCTGGCCGGCGAGAATAGACATGGCTGATATTCGCTTCTCAGGACGGGCAAAATGCGAGGAACTGTCAGGAGATGTCAGATTGAGGTCAGCACTCAGTAATGGAAAGGTCTAATTATTTCACAAGCTCCTTAAAAAGTGCATGCAGAAAGGCCTTGAGGTTCATCCTGGTAAATCCACAAATTTTTTGTATTAGACTTGTATTAGACTTGTATTAGACTTGTAATGGACAATATATGGATGCAATAATAATAATAATAATAATATGCATATGTGGATATGAACAATCAATGGCTTATTTACTTCCTATACCTCATATCCAAAGCTATGCCATATTTAGGAGTTAATCAAAATCTAAACTGTAGCACACACTTGGATACAGTATCCCTTCACAGCCAAGATGCTCATGCGTCTTTTACTTTCATTA